TGAGCAGTCTTCACACATATGTAGACATGCTTGTAATCACTGAATACCGCTTCAGATCACGTACTCGTCGGTCTCTAATCTTCAGTTTCAGTCTTCAACGTTTGCTGAAGGTTCTTTGGTGTGAGTGTTGTCTTCTTGAAGTATTGTTGTCTCTTATAGATTTACAATGCAAGTTCTTCAGCGATCACTGAACAGACTCAGTGAAGATCGCTGGAACTAAAAATACAGAAACACAAATACAACGTGAAAGAGAAAAGGGATTATCATCAAATCACTGTGAGAGAGAGGATCAACAGGGTTCTTGTGACATCAATCATTTTTCTTTGTGTGTTTAAAGTCTGCTAATAGCGTGTGGGTTACTCGTGAAAAAAACAATTGAATACATAATCTGCAATGGGTGAAGGGATACAACACCGTGATAGCTCATGAAGAAGCTTTAAGAACCGAGCATCTTAAGGTTCATCTTTTAATTCTTTCAAACTTTAATGCACAACATTCACACTGATGTAAAGCACCATGAGCAATATCTAATGTGTTCATATTGGTTGAACTTGGCTTGGCAATTTCAAATTTCAACTTCAACAAAAGTATACAAAGAGACGGATGAGGGTTAACATGGCAAGGTTTCAAATCTTTTTTATTTCTTTTTTTCCAGAAAGAACTCAAAATTGTTCTTCCATTTTTCCACAGTCATATCTGCCCAACAGATAACAATGAAATACTCCCCAAAAATATAAGTTCTCTTGGTTGAGAGTCATTGCACATATTTATTTTACTAGCATAGTCCTTAAACTTATATTCTTTTTGTTATCATGTACTAAAATTTGTACATTGCTTTAAAAGTTCAACTCAAACTATGGAAAAGAAGCTTTTGAGATTTTATATTTCTATACACATTAGATTGTTGTACATTCATTTATGTGTATTTATGTATAGTTTAGGAACTTTACTGCCAATTTCATGTTCTAGTTGTAGATATAAATGATTCATGTTGACATGGGTAACAGGTAGACCACCTTAAATGTTTGGTCGTTGCAGGTTTCCAATCCTGAAATGTTGGTAAAGTTCTTGGATAAACACAATTATTATATATTTAATGATGGATACCTTTTTTATATGTAGACAAATGCTGGAGATAACAGTGAGTCTACAAGCTCGAGAAATTCATCAATTTCAGAAAATACAAGTATACTAGGTATGCCTATCTGATTCCTCATGTTTGTGGTGTCATGCAATACCATTCACTTTCTTTAATTGGATGCACTTTTTTTATGGGTATAAGGAAATGAAAGAAGGCATGTCTTGCAGTTTTGATTTATTAAAAGTTTCAGCTTGACTTCAGTTGATTCTCTTAAGTAGATTTGATAGGAACTTAGTTTTCTGGTTGCTCAACATCCTTTTGAAGTTTCCAGAACTCATTCCTTTAAATTTGATCACTTTCGAAACCATATATCATTCTTTTAGCAGGTTTTGCTTGCCTTCATTAAACAAACGTTTGTATGACACTTTCCTATGATGTTGTCAAACTCCATTTCCCAGAGTTGATTTACAGAGAAGCTTATGTAGTTTGGAAGTGTCAAATGTGTATGTCGGCATAATTCAGAACTCTTTTTCTTCAGTTGTTGGATAATTCTACATTTTGTTATTGTGCAAGTAGTTAACTAGTTATATCACCTGAAGCCCCCTCCCTACTAATTAGAAAAATAAAGAGAAAGATAAATACATAGGGTTTAAAAAATTTATATGTACATTATAATTCACTACTTTGCATCATTTCAAACCCATATGTACAATATCACCATTTCAAATCTTCGATGGAATCCTAAAACTGTTTCCAAAACATTATGTAAATATCTTTCCGTTTCCTCTGTTTTTATACTTTTTGGAGTATTTTCTTGATTTCTGAAACACTTTTGAACTGCATATCTTTGTAAGACCATCTTACAATTTCATATTTTTGACTCGTTTTTTTGAATTTTGATTCCAGAAGTTCATTCTGAAATTGGATTTGCATGATGATAAAGACAAGAGAAAAGCTTTGAAGAGTGTATCTGTTCTTTCAGGTAACTGTAATCAAAATTTACGGTGATTCTTTGAGTTTCTTTGTCCAATTTTATTCTTTTAATCATATCTTTTTCATAAATCAAAAAGTGTTCAAACCTTAACCTTGTGGGGTTAGCTCAACTTTTATACAATTAAATCTGACATATTAAATCTATTCTATTATCAGTTATGAAATCATTTTCTGTTGTTTCAAATTGGATTCTTTGAGTTATTGGAGGTACGATATTTAAGTGTTTAATATAAGTCCTCATTTGCATTTGTTTTATGATTTCTCCCTAAGATGCATATATTTACTCATTTTTCTTGTTTGTAGGAGAATATGGTAGAGATTAAGCAGCAGACCGGATCAACAGAAAATCCTCCCGATGATTTAGAGATTATGCAACAAGTCTTAGGTAAACGATCAATATATATTTGGGGATGGTTTAGGGTCCCG